TGATAGAGACAATCAGTCAGTCAGCTCCAGTGTTGGTGAAACGAATGACAGTGGTGCATCATCTCCAAGCTCATCACAGCAACAGTCCATTGAATTGTCAGCAACAGGTACTACTGGATCTGACAAGTTTCATCCAGTACGTCCTCTCCAACTAAATAAAAGTGGAGCACCCCAAGGGGACAGCAGCACCCATCCAACAAACACAAGTCCAATCAAGCGACGAGCAAGCCAAGCTGAGGAGCTCTTGAAAGCAGAAGATGCAGGAGGTACAGATCATAGCACTACATTTATAAATTTGAATAAAGAATGAAAACAAAAAGTCTTTGTCATAGTGCAACCACTTCAATTGCAGCCACCTGTCAGTTTTTAACCAATCATGGCAAGATTTCAATGAATCTGAGTTTGATTGTGATCACACCAGTCATGCCCAAGTCTGACAGTTTTGGTTGGCTGCTAAATAAGTTTCAATCTCATTACTTCAACAGGGTGACGAAGGAGTGACAGAAGTAATTTGATCTAAAACTAGTTCATAGAAACCAGTGATTAAGAACAGAAAATCATTAATAATTTGCAAATTGATTGAAACGTTTGGTTCAATCGCAAAAATAAATTTGAACCTGGAGACAAAAATAAGTTTGAATCAACTCACACTTCCTGCCATTTAAGACAAAATTCTGTGCAGTCAAGGGGCTACAGTGACCTGAAACCAGCATCAAAATGAAATTTTGTTCCAATCCAAATGCACTAAAANAGAGACTTTGATGATACCAATGACAGTTCCTTACAGCCAGTGACTGATCTTACGGGTGTAGATGAGCCTTCCAATGATGACGAAGGCATAACATCTCAAACAACCACAGATATCTCCAGTATGCTGGAACAGGACAGTAACCAAGAGGTAAAATAATAATTAAAACAATGACAATTTATTGTTAACAATCTGCATACCCTTTATGCATATAATGTGTCTTACGGCAGTTTTCATGCTATTAAAGATTTTTAATATCATTGTTGTTTGCAGAGTACTGAATGTCCACCTCTAAAAAGACCTCGCACTGAATCTCCTGATGATGAGCAGGAACAGTAGTGCTGTGAAAATTAGATTATTTTATTTTCAACTCTAGAAAAATATGAAAGTGATATTTATAAGGTAACAAGAGCAATAAACCAAATAGATTACTATTTATTGCAGAACTAAAGTGAATGATGTTAAGTTCAAGAAAAGTACATGTAGTTTTCATCAAGGCATGGTTTAAGAACAACAACATTCTTGAATCTAAGCTGCAGTTAGCACTGTTTATTATCATAAGTCATAGACACATGAATCTGTTCACTCTTTGAAAGATTGGTTATGGACAAAAAGTCATTTCTTGGTTTCATAAGTTAG